AAAATAATTTGAGGGGTTTTTGCTATTATATGAATATTTTTAAATATTTTATGTTTTTCGACTATTTTTGGAATTAATGATTTTTATGTTACAACTGTAATAGTACCCAATGAACAGCTTTTTTCAGATGCAGGAAATCATGTAACAGCAAAATGGAATAGGTTAGATCCAGATATGGTTAATTATTTAGTATTTCTTAAACGTAACATGTCTCAGTTTGATATTTTTCCTCCTTGTTAAATATTAATTAGTATAACGATACTTAATAAATTGTAGCAGTAGTGATTGATTTTGAGTACTAATTGTAGTAAAATTGTATCTTAACGAAATACATTTGAAATCAGTAGCAATTGAAATTTTTTCGTGTACTTCTTCAAGGGAATCAGTAGAAATTAAAAATTGATTTTGAGCTGATCACAATTCGATTTTAAACTGCTCCAACTCTATCCCCAAAAAATATACATAATTTATATCTAATACGATGAAAATAGTTTTTAATTTTCGTTGTTTTACGTACATTATTTTTGTATGTGTATGCGTATTAATTTTAATATTACACATAATGATAACGGTGTTGTTGTTGTGGTAAAACGTAAAGTTCAAGTTCTTAAAGAAGTAACGTATGGTGCAAAAAATCAATGCGTACAACATGACAATACACATTTGTATTCTATACTACTGAGTATTAGAATAATTCAACAAATTATACACATATACGCATCAAAATATATTATTATAAAATGATCCTAGTTGTGTAGACTCAGTGTTTTGATGCTATTTATAGTCCAGAAAAATTCTAAGGTAATAAAAATTATTGTTAAAGGTTAATTTAAAGGTTAGGCTTAGGGTTAGGGTTAGGGTTAGAGCTGAGGTCAAGATTATACACAAAATTGCCTTCCTGACATTTTTTATTAATGTACCAAGCTAGATTTCAATATCTGTTTCCTGTATTTTTTACATTTTTTGTTTTGCCGGAGCTGATCAATAATTTACACATTTTTATTAAATCAAAAATTCATGTATTATATTTATCGTTATCGTTATTGTTATACACAACTAGGATCATTTTATATATAGTCGTTACTTGTTATAATTATTATTTTATCATTAAATTTTTATGCGTATAATTATTCTAATACTCAGTACTGTAGCAGTAATATAGAATACAAATGCGTATTATCATGTTGTACGCATTGATTTTTTGCACTATATGTTACTTCTTTAAGAACTTGTACTATACATTTTATCGTAGGACTCTAACTATAACGTTACTATCAAGTATTCTTTATTACATTGTGAACTTTAGAGCAGTCAGAATCTATTGCTATTTTTAAATGGATCCAGTACAACATCCCGAAACCACAATCCTGACATCCCATATGCCTGACAAACGAAATCCCGAAAGTCCAACATCCCGAAAGTCCAACATCCTGAAAGTCCAATATCCCGAAAGTCAAACATCCTGAAAGTTCAAATCCTGAAAGTTCAACATCCCAAAATGTTCAATATCCCGAACACTAACATCTCAACAGTTCAAAATCCTGAAAATTCAAAATCCCACTTCAAAATCCTGGTTCAAAATCACGACATTTAAAATTTATTGGTTACTCATTGATCGACTTTTGTGTTTACATGTTCGTTATTCCCACATTCCACATTAATATTAATTAATCAGTGTTTACAAGAAATACATATTCATTATTTCATTATTTTTTACAATATGTAAATAGCAATAGTTAATAATCAGTAATCGGGTATCAAGAAAAAATGGTGCATATCCGGCACTTTGACAATTTGCATTCTTGATCGCCAACCAATAGAAAAGCACAAACAATTAGCCGGCAAAACAAGAAAATGAAAATTGTGAAAATACGAGGAGCTAATATAAATAGTATATGCAATTTCATGCTTTAATGTGTTGGAATTTTGAATTGTCATTTTTTAACATTTCAGGATTTTAAACTATCGGGATGTTATCAGGATGTTGAGCATTCGGGTGTAGGCTTTTCGGGATGTAGGCTTTTTGGGATGTTGGATGTTCGGGATGTTATCTTTTCGAGATGTTGGATGTTCGGGAAGTTGGCTTTTCGGGAAATTGAGTTTTCAGGATAGTAGCTTTTTGGGATGTTGGATTTTTGGGATAATAGTGTTTCGAGATGTTGAATTTTCAGGATTTCATTTGTCGGTCATATGGGATGTCGGGATTGTGATCCTCAGGATATTAGATGGCACTCTTTTAAACAACTTGTTTGTGTTAGAAAGCAAAAAAGAAAGCATCATTCCTACATTTTAGAAATTATATTCATTTTACCTCGTTAATAAATTCTGATGAACTTTTTTTGAATAATATAACTTTTCTTTATGATTCACTCATAATCGTGAACAATGCTTTATAAATTATTCCAAAGCTATCTTTGGCAAGATATTTAACATTAGTAAATCTTTCGAAAGGTATCCATTCAAAATATGGTCCATATTTATTATTTCCTTAGTAATTGTTGCGCATTCTTTATTAAACGTCTAATATCTATTTTCACTAGACTATTTACCCAATTCAGCTAAAATATTTCCTGCAGGACTCTTAACATTTACTATAATGATCAGTGTTGTAATTTATCGAAGTAACTCTACCACTACCAGTATTACTACATTCATGAATTCGTCGGTTACACTGTCAGTATTCATTTTTTTTGACCTTCGACATTTACTACAATGATGAGTTTTGTGATCTGAACATTCATTGCAGTGATTCTGTACTAGCATTCACTACATTCATGAATTTGTTGCTTGGAACACTCTTCGTAATAGTAATTTATTTAACAAAAGTAACATTTATTACAATCATAAGTGTTGTGATCCCAACATTGAATTGATAATAATACAACTAATCAATTAATCGATTTTTCAACTAATCGATTAATTGACTAATCGATTAGTTGGTCGTAATGTGGCGCAGTCAACTTTAATCGATTAATCGCAACTATAGTTGGGGTTGCTAATCGATTAGAGCTAACCCAATCGATTGATATCACTAATAACAACATTAAAATTGAACCTGCTTTTGTCTGCTAACAAAAGATGTTCGTTTTTGTTCAATTTACTAAAGACAATAAACCTCGAAAATTCAAATTGTATATATAAATGGGTCGCAATAAAGATCTTACTAACGGAGAATGCCGCACTGTCGAAATGCTCAAGAAACAAAGCATGTCCGTTGCAAAAATTACACGCATCCTTGAACGATCAGCTACTAGTGTCAAAAATTGTATTAAACGAATCAAATTAACCCAAAATTGTGGTTATTTGAAAAGAAAGAATAGTGGCCGAAAATCAATTGTTATCTCAAATCCTTTAAATAAATACTTTCAGGAGTGGAAATATTAAATTAATAATTGACTTCTTGGTTGTTTTTCAGGTCTTCAAACTTTTCATGAATTTCCTTTACTCTCAAGAAAAACCTCCTTAGAGCAATTAATGGAGGAAGAGACTGAGCGACCAATCCAGAAACTACAAGAAGAGAGAAATTGCTCAGTAACACAGTTGATCCACGAAAAAGATTCACATTAGTGGTGATAATAATTAATCTTCATACCTCAAAGCTCTTGTTATAGTACAATTTTTATTTCGGAGAGTATTGTTCTTATCATCGGCAAGAGCGAGAAAGATAAGAACGAGAAAGGAGTGAAATTAGATTAAATATCATTCTTCGGCCAAACTTTTTTTTGCCACCTGATAGTAAAGATGATATATGACAATACTGATCACAAAAAACTTACTTTTATTGACATATAAACTGTTTAACTTATCAAACTCTTTATGTCATTACTCTTCATTGTAATAATCTCTTAATTTAGTATCTCTTCCTTTGTCAGCGTCGCAATAATTTCTTCTAACTTTTTCGGAAGATTTAAACTCCCAATTTTAAAATCAGTGCCAGAAATATCAAACATCGGAGTTTAATCGTCTCTGGCTTAATTCAAGACAGCAAGAACTTGACCGAATTAGAGTCGAAGTTCCACAATAATTGTTAGTTGGCAACGATTGGCTTGGAAAAGCACATGCTACTTTAGATTGGTGCCAGACCCGATATTCTTACTATTTAATAACTTTCTAATAGTAGTCAGACCTATATGCATGATTTTTTCGCTTTATGAACTGAACGTTTAATTCTTCAAAAAATTAAAGCAAATCCAATTATGAGCAGAATGCCAAACGCCTGCTTGCCACTAAATCTCATCTAATAACATATCTCCACGTGCCTGATAAGTTTAAAGGAAAATGGTATCAAATCTCATATTGCACGTAAAAAATGAAACAAATTGAATCAAACGATTAAACTGGGATTGAAATTCACAAAAATTAGACCAAAAAAGATTGGCGGTGCGTTCTTTGGAATGACGAATCTTCTATCAGCCCCGGTTGATATGGAAAAGTTCGTGTTTGGTGTCATAAAGGCGAGCTTTACAATCCAAATTGTACACAAGCAACCGTTAAAAATAGTCGAAATCTATTATGGTCTGGAAATATGTGAGTGGATTCAATTTAAGTCATTTAGTTCGCACCCCATCACGTATGAATGGTGAAAAGTATGGGAACGTTATTTTATATGTAATTTACCCAATGGTTGCAAAAGAGTTAATATTCAAGAGAATAATGCACCAATTCACAAGAGCAACTTGTAAAGGAGCTTAAAATAATCTTAGAATAGTAATAATGGAGTTGCCACCACAATCACCAGACCAGAGTCCAAATGAAAATGTGTGAAGAGAGATTAAAGGCTGGATTCATAAGAACCAAAAACCATAAACAGAAGCTGACCAGAATTTTCCGCATGGAATACTATTATGTTTGAGAAAATTATTCACTTTAAACTCCTAATTTTTTGTCACATGATTATTGGCAAATGAAATTTTCATCAAATTTGAATATGAACAAAATGAACCATTCACTTTAGTAAATCGATTCAAGCGAAAATACTATCATTCAATTCGTCTAGTCAAGGCGAATCGAATGGTAGTATTCATTTTTAGCGGCAAACTTCTAATGAAAAATTTATCAATAAAATAATGCATCGGTAACTTTAGTGCATGATATCTCAACTTCCAATGATTAGGCGAATTGAATGATTGTATTTTTTGCACGAAACAATTCACTGAACATCAAGATATTGTATTCTAAGGTAAACTTTCATATTACTTGTAAGATCTGATAAGACAATGTTACAAGGCTAAATAAGACCTTGATAATTAGTGTTTGTATTAGGGTGCAGTTAATATTATTTGATAGAGGTACCTTTTCTTACCCCAGGTAAGATCTTCTAGCCAATCCAAATGCTTAATTTTGTACTACTTGAGATCAAGCTCTACCCCCATCCCCTAAAATATTAGCTAAGAAATGTCACTATCCTTACTCTACATGCAGTGAAAGAGTGGTAATGCGAATATCAGTATGTTAACCAGATCAGTATGTATGCATCACGTATATAAAATGTATATGGGTAGTAAGGGGGACAGTCACATTTACTAATTTCTCTCCAATTTTTGATTTGATATAAGCAATTTCCATGCTGATTGGTTGACTGCACACCGGGTCTTCTAAATCAACCAATAAAGATGCATAAATTTTTTATCAACCCGGCAAACAAATCCGACTCAAGAAACTTAAAAAGGTGAATAATGTGAAAAATACGGAAACGGATGGGTAAATCTGGCTTGAAGCATTAATAGAAAATGTCGGGAAGACAATTTTACATATAATCTTTCCTCTAATCCTTACTTCTAACGCTAAAATTAACCTCTTAACCAATCAAAACTTGGAGGGGGAAATTAGTAAATTCGCATGCACTGAAAAAGGGTTAGGGTATGGAATATAGGTAATTTATCTAAATACATGTAGCATAGTACAGCATAACGATAACAAACAAGCAGTACAGTGCAATTTATAATCATACTACATGTAGTAGAACGTATGTTATACTGGAAGTACATGTCAACGCTTTTCCTTGTACCATACTCATCCAGTTAGACCATTTGCAGGTGACTGTATCGTTACTTTGAATTATATTATTACAGATGAGTAATTGATCGCTGCAGCGACTGAGGAGAAAAAATTGAAAGATCTGTACATGTAATAACGATGTCATAGTTGTCATGAATTAATTGTTACTTATATTCTTAAGTTGACTTTCACGAATATTATAAGCATAATATTTACTTTGCTTAACAACATCTGGAATTTGATTATTTGTTTTATTTCAAAGAGAATACTACGACCAATAAACTGTAAAGCAGAACGTCATTTTAGTTTATTGGAACAATTGTATGAACGTATATTTTTTATCCTTAGAAATCATGTGTCTTGCATCACGTAAACGTATGGCGTTACAACTACAATATTTTTTTCAAGACAGTAATAGTAACGGTAACGGTCAATGGTTATACGAGACCATGTTTGTCCGAACTAGTGATCCTAGTCGACTTGGATGCGCCGGCACAGACTCGATTTGCTGAGTCAGCCGATCTGACTTTTTTCATTGCGGCGTGTCAATCTCAAAATTTTTAAATTTGGTATGAAATGTTACGTACGTATAATGCATAGTAGTGGTGATGTAAGTACATAATAAATTTTAAATAAGAAAATTCATATGACTATCGACTAAGCCGGTTAGTCGATGCAAAAAATTTCGACTCAGTCGTGCCGGTATTTTGTTGTCAGCTTAGATAGTCCGAGCGTGTTAATCATAGGAAGTCGAATTTCTTCAAACAAAATGCTACATTGATTTTGTCCGGTAACATTTTCGACGTGTCCAGTGACAAAAAATTATAGGACATCAAACAAATACTATTACTATTGTCAGTAACATGTCCCGGACAAACCCTATGTATACAGACATTTTCTTAGAAAATATAAACTGATGTATGATTGTATGATAAAACAAAAAATAATTGATGCACGTATTCAAACTAAAATGATCTCTATAACGATAAGAATAAGTGATATGACTAATTGTCCACTTTATGATATTATGACTTCGTAGTAATCAGCTGTTAAACAACAAATATGCATGTTTCTAGTGCTCCCCCAATCGGGTCGGGTCAAATACCCAAACCGTCGGGATTGTGTCAAACCCGACCCGGATCAGACTAAAAATGGTTATTTATCGTTCAATATTAATTCAATTGAACGAAAAATTGTAGATATATACACACTTACATTTCGAACTACTCTACTTAAGACACAAAATACAGTGTCTTGGTAAAAATAAAAGATATTAATGAAAAACTATTTGATCAAACCTGACCCGAACAGAGCTTTACATGTTTCCCTCTCACACACTTACACACAAAGAGCGAAATTCTCTCAAAATCTGATCAATGCTTTGCATGGAGAGAAAGGATTCAATCGGAAATGTCTTTTTCGAAGTGTGAGTCATTTCTCAATATTTGTTATTATACGTTTGAATATTAGATAATTTAAAGCCATCATGATAAGTAAATAATAATTAGTTTTTGTCGTTGTCTAACGATTGAATGATAATTACGTTATCGCAAAAAATTATTATACCAGATGATACTAATGATAAAATGATAAGAAATAATATTATCCTGGTTTAGAATACAATTATTTATATAAGTTATTTAGTCAAAAACAAGATAAAAGAAAATCACACACCAACGGACATTAACAGCAAAAATACAAGACATTCCTTTACAAAATGTAATAATTCTAAACTGCACACACCTAATATCTAATCTAATCATGATTATGATTTCAAAGGACTCGACGCTTCAATGATTTTGTTGAGACTGCTTGATGCGATGGTTGTGCAGTATAGCTGAACTTTTGTACATAAAAATTAAATGATTATACTTTATTAAAGTTCTTCAGTTTGATAATTGCCTTTAACATTGTATTTCCCTTTTAATCAATTTCGTCGCAAAGTTCAAAATATTTGAAAGATACAATCAAGTTTTTTTATTCCAAAGACTGGCTATGCAGATCATAAATCGTGAAAAAATATATTAATGATTTATTAATTTGATTGTGTCATTGAATTGGTGTCTTATGGAATGGAATGAACAATGAATATGCATGAACATTTGTAAATAATGTTTTGACCATGAATATTTGTAAATATACATGGACTTTTCGTAGATAATATCAGGCTAACGATACCTGACGAAATTATTTTCATAATGATGAAAGGTTTTCTTCACCTCATTCGTCGGACAAAACCCATGACTATTGACAAAACAATCAAAATAATTGCTTAAATCGCATGATTATTGATGAATCTGTGACGAAACCTTTGATCAATCAAAATACATGTACTGTAGAGCACTGCCTATAGTACCCTCCCCTGTAAAAATTTTGTCATTTAATTTGACCTCGGAGTAAATAATTTAATGATAAGAGTTTTTGAAGAGTTACACTGGGACTCTTGGTTTATTCAAAAAATAATTATTTTATTTAAAAATTCAGATTAAATTAAATGACAAAGTTTTTACAGAGGAGGGCACTATAGGCAGTGTTATACGGTACTAGCTAAAATTGCATGCATGTACAAA